AAGGGGGAGAGAAAGGGTGGGAGGGAGAGGGAGGAAAAGAGAAAGGGGGAGAGGAGAGGGAGAGGGTGCTATTTGGGCAAAGCTTTGCTCATTTTTATTTCAGTGCTGAAATTACTGCTGACTTTGTAAGGAAATTCTGTATGTCTGCAAGGTGCCTCCTAGGTCGCCTCTCAGAAAGTCACCTGAAAGGAGGCGCTGATAGACGGGGCTCTTATTGAGGTTAAATTGGCCACTTAGAAAGAGCCCAAAGGCTGCTGCACATAGCCTGGCTGCTCTGGGTGGTTGGATTTCTCTTTGTTTAGTTAGCAATGAGAGCAGAGAGGAGCAAAAGAGACAATGTGGGAAATCCCAAGGGTGAGTGAGGGGAATATGATCTTGGACTTGAAAATTCCAGGAAGGCAACTATGTAGGGTTGATGGGTGTGGGCTGGGGACAGGGCAGTGTGCTTGTCCTCACTGCCCCTGACCCCTAGGCCCTGAGCCTCCTTTCCATTATCTAGTCTGTGCAGGCCCAGGGTAGTGCCAGGTGAATGAGGGTTATTAATGCTTTTCCTGGCTACCAGTCAGCCACAGCCCACTTTGATGAAAAGGTAAATTTCTTCTTTTGTTTTTGTGGTTGCCTAGCCAGTAAGTAGCAAGGGGGCACCAATGGCATCAGGTCCCAGAAGGACAGATTCCACTAGAGTTACACACAAGCTATTTGTAAAGCTTGGGACAAATAAAAACCAAGTCAGACCTAAGACATCTTTCTGAGGAGCAACAGTGTACACATTTTCTTCATACACAACCCCTTGCCTATATCCGGGTCAAGAGAGTAACACCTTAATGTTTTTAGAAGAACATGAATATGATAAGTCGTTGAAGGACAAAATTACTGTATATGGCTCTGTCTAGCTGAAGGTCTATCTAACTACCTAGTCAGCAGTCATCTGTGTGTCTGTGTGCTGGTGAGTGGATACAGGGCCACCCTGCATATGCTGAAATCTTGTTCTACTGCTGTGCTACAGGCCGACAGTATATAAACCTTCCTTTTCTTTTTTCAAAAAGATTTATTTATTGTGCGTACATGCTCTGCCTGCATGTGCACCTTTGCTCATTTTTATTTCAATGCTGAAATTACTGCTGACTTTGTAAGGAAATTCTGTATGTCTGCAAGGTGCCTCCTAGGTCGCTTCTCAGAAAGTCGCCTGAAAGGAGGTGCTGATAGACAGGGCTCTTATTGAGGTTAAACTGGCCACTTAGAAAGTGCCCAAAGGCTGCTGCACATGCTGCATGCCAGAAGAGGACATTAGATTGCATTATAAATGGTTATGAGCCACTGTGTAGTTGCTGGGAATTGAACTCAGGACCTTTGGACGAGCACACAGTGCTCTTAAACTCTGAGCCGTCTCTCCAGCCCCAACCTTCCTTTTTAAAGTCAGCAGCAATTTTTTCTGGGTCTCAACAAACACCAGTGATCCTAAATCTCTGATCCCCCTAGAGTATCCTGAAATTCCCCAATCAAAATTAAATTCACTACAGCTAAGAAGGGAAATACGCATTGTTCATCCTCTCTGACAGTAATTGGGTTAAATTACTTAATTGGCTTAAATCAGTAATTTCACTTTTACCCACATAACAACATATCATCCCCATTTCATAGATATGGAAACTGAGCACCAAGGAGATGGTGTTTTGTGGCCACAGTCTCACAGCTGAATGGCAGATGGAGAACAAACTCAAGAGGAATCAGCTCTTAAGGCAGCTGCTGCCAGGCGTGGGATGTGGCTCAGTGGTAGAGCACCTGCCCACCTGTTCATATTCTACAAGTTGTGTGTGTGTGTGTGTGTGTGTGTGTGCATGTGTGCATACATACACATTTTCATGCATTAAATGAAACCCTCTTTAGTTATCTAGGTGGATGCAAAGAACGTTCTTGGAGTTGTTTTCAGAGTGTGAGTCACGGAGTGGTGAGTTAATTTGTTTACAGAACACAAGAGTGGAGTCCTGACTCTGGCCAGCGTGAGCTAGCTTGGGAAGAAGCGAACCTACAGAAATAATTCTCTTGTTCCTTCCTTTCGTTTCCTCCTCCCTGTCCTTTTTTTGTTTGCTTGCTTGTTGTGTTATTGTAGTTTGTTTTTGGTTTTGGTTTGTTTCCCCTAGGCTCTAAGTATACACCAAGGCTAGCCTTGAATCTCTGGGTTCAAGCCAACTTCCTCAATTTCTATCCCATGAAGCTTGAAAGTATCCCACTCCCTTTTTTTCCTTTGGTTCTTGAGACAGGATTTCTCTGTGTAGCCTTGGCTGTCCTGGAACTCACTCTGTAGAGCAGGCTGGTCACAGAGATCTGCCGCCTCTGCCTCCACCTCCCCAAGTGCTGGGACGACAGGCGTGTGCACAAGCATGTGCCACCACCTCTAAGGCCATACCATCTGACTGCGTCCAATCTCCTCTCATCTTGGACACTAAGCAGGGCCAGGCCTAGTTAGTGCTTGGGTGGGAAAAAGTGTCTGTTTAGTTAAAGCCTTGCTTTCTCCTCTGTTGGCTGGGACTTTACAGTCTGCTTCGGTAGCTCTCAGTGGAGGGCTCAGAAGGACGAAGGCTTTCTTCCCTCTCTCCACCTTCTCTTGTTTCTCACTCTCTGCCTTGTGAGACTGTTCATTGGGCCCAGGAGTAAGTTTATTCTCTTGCAGGAATGGAATCAGCTGGGAAGACAAAAGCACAGTTTCAGAAGGACAGAGCTCATTTCTATTGTTCCGAACTGAGCTCAGCTCTAAGTCTCTCTGGGGAGTGGCAGGACTCCATCTTTGGAGGCCATGACAACACAGGTCACAGGGTAAAAATCTTGAGGATGGCAAACCTTGTGAAGTATAACTTCCTCCTGTAGGCCATGGTAAAAACAAAAACTCAGATTTCCACATCACATACATATTAGTAATTCGTAGATTCTGAAAGTCACCTCCAAAGGCCCATAGTCCCCTTGCACTTATCAGAGCCCACCTCTCAGACCCCAGGGGCAGAATGAGATCTCTTGTTACGAAGCCTTCATCACTTCAAAACTATATAACAGGCTATTTGCCGGGAGGTTATGAAACATGATCGTACATTAAAACTAAGTAACTCGTGTAAAATAAGTGGACAAAGAGTGCTCTGTTAGCTGAGGCTCTGCTTGGCACGCTTCCACTGATTTATTTGGGTACCTAGGGTTTTCAGAAGCCAGGTAACGCTGTGGACTGTGAATCTATGGCAAGCATGTAGACTGCTTCTGCAAAGCTTTATCCAAGACGTCTCAGGACTGACCATAAGGCCTGTCACCTGTGCTGTTTCTGCCAGCTGGGTAGCTTGTGTGCAAAGACGGGACAGCATGGAGGGGTTGGGACTGGAGGGAGCAAGGCACTCGGAAGAGTGGAGCCTTCAAGCTACAAATAAACTCTGCATGCTATGGAACACGCTTGTCAGTTCAGCCCTTGGAAAGCTGAGACAGCAGCATTGCTATGAGTTTGAGGCCAGCCTGGGCTATATAACAAGTCTAAAAAAAAAATCAGTAACAGGCTTATTTTTTTAAAAAGGATTTGGAGCTAAGCCACCATAGCTGGGAGAGGGGTGGAAGACGGGTTGATGTAATATTCATTTGGAGATTTGCAGCTAATTCTGTAGATGATGGCTAAGTAGTTACTATGACTGTTAGCACATACACCCAGTGATTCACACACTCCCCAGACAATGCGGGCTGACTAGACAAGATCGGAAAAGTGTCAGTTCTTCTATATTCAAGTTTAGGGGAATGCTATAGAAATGTGGCCACTACCATTCCCCTTTCGTGTAGAGCCCAGTTCCTTTCCTCATGAACATTTCCCCCCTTTTTTTTTCTTGTTCCCTCCCCTCCTTCCTCCCTTTCCTTCTTCCTGTCTCTCAATTGTCATAAAATACAGGTATCAGAAAACTTGTAATTTCTACCTCTTTTTAAATGTGCAGTTCAGTGGCACTAGCTGCATCCACAGTGTTGTGTAATCTTCATCACCATCTTCTCTATCATCAACTAATTTATTTCTTTATTTGATGCTCAGGCCTCGTGTGTACCTGGCCAAGCAGGCCAGCGCTTTCCCTCTTGTGCCATATCTCCAGCCCTCCATGTTTGTTCTTTTAATCTTTCAAATTCATATCCAGTAAACAAAAGCTGTTACTTCCCTGCAGGCCATGATGACCATTTCTGCTGTTTCTATGAATTCGACTGTGATAGGTATGTCACATAAGCAGAATCATTCAGCATTTCACTTTCAGTGTGTGGCTTATTTTAATTAACACAGTGTGTTCAAAGTTCATTCACATGGTGGGCTGTGTCTAGGTTTCCTTCCTTTTTATGGTTGCATGATATCTCATTGCATATGTAGAGACATGTTCAAAGTTATATTCTAGGGTTCCCAGCATGAGGTTTAAAACTCACTATGCACTGAGTCTCCAGGTCAAGAATCATGACTGTTACTTATTAAATATTCTCTTATTGTACTTTCAGAGCAGTCCCCAAAGGTAAGTTCTGTTATCATCCACATGGTATGGATGAGGAGATGAGATGTGTGTGTGTATAATAACACATTATTCAAGTCATGATATAGCTTAGGATTATAGCATGGAAAAAAAAAACCCTCCAAGTTTCTTAGTATTTTCAAATTCCTGGCATGTTCCTCTTTGAGATTCAGGGCCAGTAAGTCAGCATTCCCAGGAATCCCCTGAGTTTTAAGTGTTTTAAACATAGGTCTAGCAACCTGCATGCTGGAGAATCTGAATGGCTAAGTTTCTTGATTGGAGACTCCAATGCACTAAATTTACCAGGACTCACAAAGAACTAGAGCCAACAGGAATAGTCAATAAAACCTACAACTCAAGCCCATGTCTCCCAGTAAGGTGACAGCCTCTTGTGGAATCACAGGTGGACATAGCCCGCTTGAGGACTTATTCTGCATTGAAAATGAGCACTGGGCTGGAGAGATGGCTCACTGGCTGGCCTTTCCCAGGCTGCCGAAGATGGCAGAGAGGCAGGTTCTAGTGCTAGATGGCTGAGACCATCTCCTCGGTTGCCTGGCGGCCATTGTGGCCAAGCAGGTACTCCTGGGCCGGAAGGTGGTGGTTGTACGCTGTGAGGGCATCAACATTTCTGGAAACTTCTACAGAAACAAGTTAAAGTATTTGGCCTTTCTCAGGAAGTGGATGAACACCAACCCCTCTCGTGGCCCCTATCACTTCAGAGCCCCAAGCCACATTTTTTGGCGCACTGTGAGAGGCATGCTGCCCCACAAGACCAAGAGAGGCCAGGCTGCCCTGGAACACCTCAAGGTGTTGGATGGAAGCCCTCCACACTATGACAAGAAAAAGCAGATGGTGGTCCCTGCTGCCCTCAAGGTTGTGCGGCTGAGGCCTACCAGAAAGTTTGCTTACCTGGGGCGTCTGGCTCATGAGGTTGGGTGGAAGTACCAGGTGGTGACAGCCACTCTTGAGAAGCAGAAGGAAAAGGCCAAGAGGCTGCGGAAACAAGCAGAGAAGAATGTGGAGAAGAAAATCAGCAAGTTCACAGAGGTCCTCAAGACTCCTGGTGTGAGACCAATGAAGACTGTGCCTCAAAAAAAAAAAAAAAAAAAAAGAGCACTGGCTGCTCTTCCAGAGGCCCTAGGTTCAATTCCCAGCAGCCACTTGACAGCTCCCAACTGTCTGCAACTGCAGTTCCAGGGGATCCAACACCCTCACACACACACACATATGCAGAGGCAAAACACCGAGGCATATAAAATAAATGAAGAGAAATAAATAATTAAAAAGAAAGGAAGGAGGCCCTGAGAGTGCCCAGCATGCTTACACTGAGTGCACTCTTCAGTAAACGTTCCGTTGTTTGGTTCTAATCTACCCTTTCTTGTTCTCCTTCCTAAAGACCAAGATCCACTATCAGAAAAGAAGCAGCTTTTGAGGCTGCGGAAACAAGCAGAGAAGAATGTGGAGAAGAAAATCAGCACAGAAGAAAAACCACAGAGGTCCTCAAGACTCTGTTGTGTGCTGTGCCCACACAACAAGCACTTGGCTTTTGTGGCTTCAGGAGACAACAGTAAGGCAGTGAACAGCAGGTGCTTCGTGATGCTTGGCTTGGAGAGAAGGCCCTGACTGCTTAGTGAGTTTTATGCCTGTTGGGACTCATCTCTGGAACAGATGTACAAAGCTCTCAAGTGGGTAGCTTTGGGGCCTGGTGGAGCATGACTGCAGGACAGGATGGCGCCGAAGACCAAGAACTGACCTTGTTTTCCCTGGTGCCTGGAATGGGAGGCAGACTGAGAAGCGTTAGGGCACCGGAGCATGGCCGGGCACTGCCTCCAGCCACCTCGCTTTGCCGAGCCCAGCTGAGAAAGGTGGTAGTTCTAGTAATTTGTCCAGTACAGGTTAGTGTCTCTGCTTGTTGACCCTTCCTCAGTCTACCATAGAACCGGGCATATGCTGCATGGGCAGAAAGAAATATAATAATATGTTTTTAAAATAGAAATTTATTTCTCACATTTCTGAAGGTGTACAAATGGGTCACTGGTTTGTTTCGGGAGAGAGGCTGCCCTCTGCTTGCAAGAGACCCCTTGTTGCTACGTCCATTGTGGGGAGTGTGTGTCCTCAAATGACAGGAGGGAAGGGAGGGCAAAGGGGCTGAACTCCATCTCTCAAGACCCTTTATTAAGGTGCTAATCCCATCCATGAGGGAGAAGGTGCTAATCTCATCCATGACGGTAGAGCCCTGAGGCCTAATCGCTGTCAAAAGGCTCCACCTTCTAATCCTGTTGTAATGGGGATTAAGTTTCAACACGAATCTTGGAGAAGACACAGACATTCAAACCATAGCCAGCCCCCAAATAAACATGGCATGAGTTAAGATTCTATGTCTCTCCCCTCAGTGCTGGTCTTAAATCCCTTCTTTTGGCCTATGACATGGTATCTGATGGCAATCTGAAAGGATGGAAATGAGGGAGCGTGTGCCAGCAGGGATCATAGAAACAGAAATGCCTGCATCAGGAATCCCAGAGCCCAAAGCCCTTTACAACCTCTGAAAGACAGAGTGCTCCCATCCCGGAGACTTCCACCCCGGGTCGTGGCTTGAAGAATCTGTCTCATGAAAGCTGCTTCCAACAAGCATTTAAAATCATCCATCCAAAAAGATAACTAAATTGTGGCCATTCATTGCTCTGAAGCCATCACACTGCAATGAAAACATGTATTTAACTGGGGAAACACTAGAGGCTCACTCTCCCTGGCCTCGGCTCCTTTTCTTCTCTCTTCCATTGAGGGCGCAAAATGTTATGATTCATTTCAGCCCTGCCCAGCACAGCGGTGAGTTACAGACCCCAGCGTTCCGAGCCTAAGGGGTCCCGGGTGAGATCAGCCCCCCAGCCCATCCTGGCATTCTCTCTGAAGCCAGCTCTGTTTGTTCTTTGACTCTTTTGATCATTGCTATAACAGTAGCCAAGCAGAGGAAATTAAGCTTTTGTATTTTCGGCTAATCCATGACCCTGGATAATTTGTAAGAGACATCTATGCGCAGTTAAAAATAAGCCTCCAACTGCTTGGTAGGGGTGGGGGTGGGGTGGGGGATCATAGAATGGCAGCACTGAAAGGGAGGACGTCAAAGCATCTCCTTTGGGAAAATCTGTTTAGTTCAACTCTCCATTTTAATAGAGAAACTGAGGCGCAGATAAGGGGAGGAATTTGCTTATGGCCATGTATGAAGTCTGTGACTGTAGAAAGATTTAAATGTGGAATTTTAGGTCTCTGTGGGGATGATGGAAGGTCTCTGGGCAACTGAACTCTATGGCTCCAGGCACATGTTCCATCTGTTGGACTGAGCCTTCCAGCTAAATGCCTCAGGTTTCTCTTCTGTGCCTTTGATAGAGCAGTTAAGAGCCTAACAGAGGGATGGAGGATTTGAGCTCTGAGATCCAAAAGCATGTCTTTGCTGTGCCTTGGTACCCTGGTGGAGTGGTGGATCTATCAGGGCCCACGTGAGCACTGAGGGATGTGACTGTGGCAAGGTTCGATGGTGTTCAGTCCACATGGAATAGGCAATGTTCTTATCTTTCTGTTCCCCCATCTTTTCTGTTTGAGAGTGACTAGAAAGTTCCGTGCTTATAGATGCCAGTGGCTTCCTGTGCTAGGCTGGAATATCCCCATGGAAAGAGACCAAATAATGAAGTTCAGAGCCACTGGGATGTGGAAACAGACCCTGCCAAGGAAACCCATGCCACCATAGGAACTGTCACTCATGGCCACCATAGGACTGCCACTCACAGTCTGGAAATTTCTTCACAGGCAAAATGAGGGCAAGATTCCTTTTCGCTCAGCTGCCTATAAATGTCTCATACTTTTTGTCAAAGAAACTCCCCCCAGCAATGTGGCAGACTGACTCAGATGAGAAAAGGAAACACAAGCCACAAAGGAAATGGGGAAGCAAACGCACAAATGGTTTGTCATCCTTGTATCTAAAACCTGAGCATGAGCAGTGAGACATTTCCACCCCCACCCCCCACAACGAGGAAGCTGAGCAGTGAAGGGAGCATTCAAGGGGCCATGGGTTGCCTGCGTGCCTGGTGTGCAGTAAGTGATGGAGCGGATCTGAGATGGGTCACGGGTCCAGAGGCTCCGTCCGATGCCACACTTCCCTGACAGATCTCGCTCACAAAAACCCAAGCATAAGCTTGCAACACAGCGAACAAGCTTCTCACCCCAAAATGCTGGAGTGTGCAACGTTCTGGGGGAAATGACACAGCTCGTGAAGGAAGTGAGTATACTATTAGATTGCCGTGGGGCAAGAGAAATGAGAAAGGAAGGAAGGATGAAGGCTCCAGTTGCAGCTGCAGGAGAACGCTGCATGTGTTCATCACTTTACCAGGGTCAGAAAACCATTGAGAACCATTTTCGGGAAGTGATTCCGGTGCCGGTTAAAGTTGTGCACCCTGCAGCGTGTGCCTCGGGAGCAGCAGCATTGAGGCTACTCGGGAAAATATTACAAAGTTAAAACATCTAAGTTTTGCGAGGGAAGAAAATAATGAGCACTAATTATATCAAAGAGTCGTGCTGGGCATGGTGAGGAACATGGGTAATCCCAGCCACTCAGGAGGCAGAGGCAGGCAGATCTCTGTGAGCTTGAGCCCAGTCCAAGACAGCCAGGGCTACACACAGAAAGCCTGTCACACACACACACACACACACACACACACACACCCCACACACACCCCACACACACACACACACACACACCACACACACACACACACCCCCCCCACACACACCACACACACCACACACACACCACACACACCACACACACACACCACACACACACACACCACACACACACACACACACCACACACACACACACACATACACACACACACACCACACACACACACCACACACACCCACCCACCCACACCCCACACACACACACACACACACACACACACACACACACACACACGTCACATACTGAGGAAAAGGAGGGTTATGGGATCCTGTGCTCTTTCCTGCTCTACCTTTGTTACTCTAAAGGGCAAAGGTGAGGGTCACAGAGAACACGTGCTCTGTTTCTGAGAAAAGCACTGCAGCCTCAGCCAGACCTTAGAGACGGAAGAGAAGTGTCTCATGCAGCTGCAGCCCCAGCCGTTGTCCCCACACAGGCTCACGGAGCACGTCACGATTCTTGGGGTCACTCACAGGGCTGCTGGCTCTACCCCACTTCTAGGGCTTTGAAATTCCTTCGTGATTATCTTCAACATACTAAGGAAATACTGTTTCTCCCCTCTCATAGTGTGAGTCCTGGGGATGGAACTTGGAATTTAATAGGAAGTACCTAAACTTATTTCTGCAATAGAAGAACTTAAAATTTAGAATGAAATGAAAGGCTCTTTGCAGACAGAGCTACAGGTTCAGTATTCAATTTTTAACTTTTTTTTTTTTGTTGTTGTTGTTGTTTTTCTCAACGCCAATGACAAAATGTTCTTCAAAATCCCAAACAGGGCCAACCCCCTTGACGCCCAGCATCCAAGCATTGCTGTGGCATTTTCATTGTTGCCTTTCCAAACAAAGCCATTAAGGATGGCAGGAAACTTAGGCCACTTACTGGGTGTCCTGGTCTGTCCTGTGTCCTTACAATAAATATGAGTTCTTCTGTGTTTGAAGTTGTCCTGGGCAGAAACCATCTTTCTGGGGCTTCCTCTCTGGGTTCAAGGCAAATATTGGTCTCTTTAAAAATATGTAACTGAGGGGCTGGAGAGATGGCTTAGAGGTTAAGAGCACTGGCTGTTCTTCCAAAGGTCCTGAGTTCAATTCCCAGCAACCACATGGTGGCTCATAACCATCTATAGTGAGATCTGGTGCCCTCTTCTGGTGTGCAGGCACACATGCAGACAGAATGCTGCATAAATAAAAAATGAAAATAAATTAAAAAAATATGGAACTGAGTTTCAAGGTGCTGAAGAGAAGCTAGATAATAAAGTGGAATGACTAAGAAGAGTTCAAATCCAAAGAAAAATTCCATTCACAAATTCAGATCAGAGCAATTCCTGTGACTCTTATTCTCTCAAAGATCATCCCCAGGACCCTTCACTAGTGTTCATTTTGTTTTGGTTTTGAGGCTTTTCTTTTCTTAATCTGTTCCTGCTCATGGCTTAGCAGTTCCCTGACCACTGAATCTTTGTCAAAATTTAGCTCTCCCCCCACTGCCTGTAAAGCTGGCTCCAGGGCCGCTGCCCCAGCTAAGCTCATGATCTCATGCAGCCTCACCATGAAGTAAAGGCTAGAGTGCTCTTACAACCAAGATAAAACCATGGAGGCCTGGAGAGATGGCTTAGTGGTAAAGACCACTGCTGCCCTTGAGGAGGAGGTCCCACCAAGGGCAGGGACCCAGCTGCCTCTTCCCTTGTTTATTGTGTCAACAGCTGATGCCATGGTGGTCCCTCATGATATCACAACACGATGAAGGACACTGGCTAACTCTGCCTCCATTTCCTTACCTAGGAGCAGCAGGGCTGTGGTGAACATTTCTCAGATACACACGAAGCATATGGCACACACA